ACTTTAAATTCTTCTCAGGTGATAACGAACTTCAATCAACTGACAGGAAATGATGAAACTTACTCAGCCGCCTGCTGTAGTCGATGCAAACGAAGCAAAGCCTCGTCTCTCTCCTCATTGGCCAGCAGGAGTCGTGACATCACAGCCTGATCTCTGTCCTTCTGAGCTGCCAGCACCTCCTCCAACACCGCTGAGGAGACGAGGAGGAGGACAGGACAAGTTTGAGGATACATTTCAGGAAAAGCAGAATCTTTTTTTCTCTCCAGATTGATGGACCAATGAGAGCAGAGCTCATGATTACCACGCCATGTGTGTGTTCAGGGGTAATAACACAGAGATGACCACAGTACTTCTGAGACTCGGTGCACAGAAAATTAAAGTGGAGACTCTGCTGGTTATTAAAGTGCACCAGTTCTCTGGGTGGGAAGCTTTTGGACAGGTCAGGTCCCACCTGATGCTTCTCTCTCTGTATTTTTATATTCTATCTCTTTACTGGGAATGATGGGACTACACCATCACCAGAGCGGCTGTAGCTCTGCCACACTGCATGCGCCTGACCCTGGGAGCTTCATACCCTCCAGGTGAGCTTTGCTCTGTTAGCTGTTACTCAGGTATGAAGCACAAACGCAGTTCTTTCAGCTGCTGAAGACATACATGACATACAGAACATACAACAGACGGGCGGCCGGACTGTGTGTGACGATTTCACGGTCACAGAGGGCGCTGATGAAACCAAACAAAAAGTTTCTGTGATCTGTGGTGGAGGGAGCGCTACGTTACTGTGATGATCACACTCAGCTCAGTTAAATCAACATCACATGTGAGTGTGATTGCTGGTTAAACACACACAAACACACACTGTTCTGTTAAACTAACAGCTGCCACGTTAGCTGTCATCTCATTACCACTGCTGTTGTTTTAATTAGCGCATGCAGTCGTGTGAGAGAGAGTGTGCGTGGAAAATATTCAAATATTTAAGAAGTCGAGTTTGGATCCGATCTGATTAAGAGGAGAGTAAACTGTGACACTCTCCCCCCTCACCTGCAGGTCTCTCCCAGTCTCGGGCCTCCCTCCGTTCCTCCCTAAGCTCCTCCTCCACCTCCCTCCTATGCAGCTCCTTCTCCTTCTGAACCAGCTGCTGCTGCAGCTGAAACACAAGCACACAAACACCTTCTGCTGCTGCTGGATACCAAACATATGAGGTGACTACAACTCCCAGGGTGCACTTTAGCAAAAAGCCTCCAGTGAGTGCGGTTCAGACCCAGTCAGTAATGATGTAATGTAAGGGAACACCTGTGTGTACCTGGTTGTTGACCTGTCTCAGGGCGTCGAGCTCCTTCAGTAACAGCGAGATGTTTTTGTCTCGGTCGGCGCTCGGAGGCCGGGCTGATGCAGAGCTGCAGCACAGAGATGATGTCATCAATGACAACCAATCACAGATTAAAGAGCTGCAGGTCCCGGAGATGTTTGTTTCTCTTTAAAGACACGAGTTTACCAAACTCATCTACACACAAACACACACAGTTTAGCTGTACTGCTGTTAATCTCAGCGTGCGTTTCTGTGTGCCTGTGTGTGTGTTGGCGGTGTCCCCTCCAGCGTGTGGCGTTGGACGACTGAAAGCCTCAGCGGCGCACACAGAGCGACATCACTCTCAGGTAGCTGCTGTTGCACACATTAAAATCTCTTTAACGGGACTCGTTAACATGTTTTAAATGTGCTCTGAAGGTAAGCTAGTATTTTCCACACTGTGAGATCATTAACTAAAAACAGAGAAGTGTTACACATTTATTGGCAGCATGTTCTCGCTGCGCCTGCAGCGGCGTACATCCAAAACTGACGGCGGCGGCGCCTCGCTGCAGTTTCGGTTCAGTGAGATTGAGTGGATTTCGTCGCTGCGGCCAGGCCAGCGGCAGCAGCGTATGAGCAGGTCGTCTCTGTGTCGATTAGAGACTGCAGCAGCTCAGAGAAGATGAGACGCTCTGTGGAGAAATCTGCTTCGTTTCCTGTTCCCACTTCCTCTGGAGCGGTGCGTCCGTTGCAGTGACGGTGAGTGCAGCAACAGCGGGCGGGTAAATAATGCGTCTGTCCTCCTCCTTCAGGTTTGTAATAAAGCAGATCTCCAGCGGATGGATGCTGAGCTCCACCTGAGCCGCCACGTTCATCCACAGAGACCGCACACGGTCTAGAAGGCACGCCATCTCACTTTAAGCACGCTTAGTGCTGACTCGCCGCAGCTCTCGATGGATCGGTGGGCTGCATGTGAGCAGGTACATCTGTGCACCATCAGCTCATCATCTGGAGATCTTTTGGTTTATCTCAAAACTTTTGGTTGTCCGACACCGAGGAGCGTGTTAAACCGAGCGGCTGTTTTTTACCGATCTCATGGTCGGAAGTTCCTCAGCAGCTGCTCGCCACTCTGCGAGGCTCTCGTTGGTCAGGGCTCAGCGTTTCATTAGTGTTTCACCTGTGTGTAGTGAGGTCAGGTGTTTTAACGGGAGGTCGCGGCCTCACTTTATCAGATGTGAGGCTGCGAGCTGCAGCAGCAGCAGGTTTAATAAGCAGCGGCTGATGTTCGCCTCTAATTCTCTCATATTACCTTAAAGGTCAGGCTGCGTCGTGGCTTCGTAATAAAGCGGGTAAATAAGACGCTGAGTGTGGCTCACTGTGTCTTCTGTAATTGACTGTTTCTGACTTTATAACATCAGCTGCTTCTAATCAAGCCGCTGCTTTTACTATCTTTCTATTTTGGTCTCGCTCCCACTAATCAAATCAAATCTAAATTTAATAGCTCACATTTCAAACAGTGATGCAACTCAAAGTGCTCCACAAATTTATTTCAAAATGCATCAAAAGACAAAAGAAGCAGGAAAAATTACAGAATCTAAAGAAAGCAGAGGAAGTTTAATGAAAAGCAATAAACTTTTTAATAAAGCTCACTGTGTGGGGGCTCTAAACATATCACATTAATCCGTTCAAAAAGCACCGAGAATACGGCAGCATGGAGGCTCCAATATCGGCCACGTTATTACTGAAACGTGTAATAATCTATAGCGCGGATACATCTGAACAACTTCTCACAACTCCAGCGCTAAAAACCTGAAACTTTTCCACCAGGCTCTCTTCAGAGCAGGGCCCACTCTAACATCTCATCGTCGGCACTGCTCCCACTCACCTGTCCACAGCGGTCACCAGGTGTCTGCCGAGGGAGGGGCTAGCAGGATCTCCGGGTGCGCCACCTTCATCTGCAGTATCTCCACAGCTCTTTACCCGAGGAGAAAGACCTCTGCTGGTTGAAAGGTCCACTTCCATCTCTCCTGCACCTCCCAGGCTGGAGGATAGCGGGGACACAGACTTCCTGCAGGGTGGAGGTGACAAAGGAGAGGCGGACCTTCTGTAGGATGGAGGTGGAGGGGAGCAGGAGGTCGACGGCTCCTGCAGGTGCTGTGGAACTGACAGACAGGTAAGAGGTCACTTGCAGGTGAATATTTTACATTTTCTGATCAATGAGTTCAGGAACCAAAGAGCCCCGTGATCATGATCAGTTTGTTGGTCCGACATTCAGCAGTGTCTGCGTCACGTCTTTAAATACGAATTAACCCAGAGCATGACGGGACTTCATGTTGGCTCTAACCCTCCCATCAATAACACACTGTGAAGCCCGCATGGAGCACATTCATCACACTCCAGTTCAAAATGCATGAAAAGTGTAAAATAAACACTTAACAACGTATCTGAGGTAAAACTGTACCTATGATGGGGGTGGATGTTACCTCGAGGCCAGATGTGGTGGTCGTAGTTCAGGTCGGGGCTCAGGCTGATCTCTGATCTGTGAACAGCAGAAACAACATGAGGTGACTTTCGCTGACCTCTAAACAGCAGCAGCGTGCGCGATACGGACATGATCAATGAGTCGTTGCAGGAACAGCTCAAAGACAGAGAGGCCGAGATGGTGGAGGATTAATGTGGAGGATGAAGGTGGAGCTGCAGACAGGAGAAGCAGAGGAAGAGCTCAGAGGTTCACGAGGATCGTGGATGTTGGAGGAGGACATCCAGAGGGCTGGAGTGACAGAGGACGATGCTGGGATTGGAGGAGATGGAGATAGATAATCGGCTGTTGGTGAAACTAAACATTCAGCTGCAGCTAACCTCCAACATCACCTCCACCCTCAACCATAGCCTGACAGGTACTGCACTCACCCGTTGGAGCTGATGAGCTGGGTTCTGATAAGTGCAGGAAGACGCTGTCGCAGCTCCACGTTCACTCTGGGATTAGCTGGATAAAAAGGAAGCGACAGCTAAAGCAGACAGACACCAAAGACCCACCTGTGCGCACACCCGCCTGTGCCATCAC